TGGTTGAAACCAACGTGTTAATTATAACCTATCCCCAACGTATCATTGCATTGTTTGAACCGTCTCTATTTTTGGTAAAGGCAGATTTACAGTAAAAACGTTTCTGTGATGTTTTGAATTGAAATTATGTTTTCGAAGGTTTTTCATCCTTTTTAAAATTGACCACCATCTGGTCTGTAAGGGGTCAATGGCATGGAGTATCTTCGTTCAACGTTTCTTATGGTAATAAGAGTATGGTAATATCAGTACCTTAATGATGTGTAACGGATAATTCATAATTGAACTTACGTTGTCCAGCTTGCATTTTGATAGGTTTAGGACCAACTTCAGGAGCATTATCACCACATGCTAGCTTGATTTCCACTTCGCGTCGCATCAGTTCCTTCTTGGTTTCAACCGAGACGCGCGGACATCCGGATAAACTACACAAATAACAAGATTAGTTAATTAGTAAGATGATGATAATTTAGATTCATTGTAAGCAGGGCCGCCGAGAGCTTGGCGGGGGCCCGGGGCAAAAAATTTTTTAGGGGCCCCTATTGCAAAAAAATTTTCCGGAAAAAATTTTTTCGGACAATAAATTCTTTTTAGGTGCGTTATAATTGCTTTCGTTGGACTTTTCCGCAATTTTCCATACCAAATTTCGGTTCATTGCCCCCAAAACACAAATATTTTGGCCCGAAAACAGAAAATTTCGCCCGAAAAAATGACTGGGGCCCATTAAATTTCTAACATTAAATTTCTAGTGGCCCCGAGAGCCTCGGGGCCCGGGGCAATTTGCCCCGCCTGCCCCCCCCCTCTCGGCGGCCCTGTATATATATATGTATATATATATATATATATATATATATATATATATATATATATATATATATATATATATATATATATATATATATATATATATATATATATATATTTAGTATAATTACATAGGTGATTATTGAAAATTCTCCACGCTGATTGGGTGCCGTTGAGGTGATTATTACGCGATAATCACCTAAGCGATTTTCAAAATGGCGGCCGAAGCCTTTTTGTCAATTAAATGACGAAGAAATGTGTATTTTTTTATTTTTTTTCCATATAATCACCTATGAAATTATACTAAAACAATTATTCACCTCAGGCTCGGTGATTATCGTGAATAAAACCCTCGACTTCGTCTCGGTTTTTATTCACCGATAATCACCTCGCCTTCGGCGAATAATTGTTAAATAATACAAAGTATTGAACAGGTCACGTGGTACAGAACCCGGTCAGCTGACTGGGTTAGCGAGTGACCCTTATAGACATTTGCTTTATTCTCATGGATATGCCGACGACACACAACTTTACGTGTCCTTTCGTCCGGTCTGCGGTGCTAATCAAGAGAGTACTTTGTCTGCACT